TAAATCAAGAACAGGGTTAGTAAAACCATTGGTTAGTTATTAAAACGTTTTTATTAAAAAAAAAATTCAGTATTTTACATGTTTTATTTACAATAGAGTTACATGACTAAAAACCATTGCGCGCCTAGCTACTGAACGTGATGACGCAGCCATTGAACGTGATGACGTGTGTGGTGTGGTTGGATAAAAATGCCTACTAATTCGGTCCAAATTTTAATTAATTCAAAAAAAATTTTGTGACCGAACGAAAGGATTTTTTGAAAACTTTCTACGGCAATATTGTTCTACATTATGGCAGGAATCGATTGGTACATGTTTCAAGTCGTAAGTGGTCTGGTTGCCGAGATATGGGCCAAAAACTGCATTTTTTCAAGTTTTTTTTTTCCTTTTCCGGGAAATCCATGAAAGAAACCCGGAATTTTTTTGGCCTATGTTCATCCTCGTAACTTGCTTAACATAATTGCTTTTGGAACTAGTCCTCGATATTGCTTCGTTGAGGAGGAGATACGACTTAAAGCTGCGGACACACATCCATTCATTCATACATTCATACATCCAGAAATGACGGGTTAATAAACGCAATTCTCCAGAATAGAAATTGCGCTAAAAAAGTAAACATTAAACCATTATTAATGTGATTAATGTGTTATGTCTCATTCATAATATATCTGACAATAAGGTTTATATTTTTTACTATTATCATGCTACAAACCCAGCACCCACCAGATTTAGTAAAATAAAATGTGAGAATAGATAGATGTAATAAATAAAGCATAACCATTAACAGTTAACAAGTCTAGTGCTAAATACAGCCATAATGAATAAACAGTCGAAAGCGATAAAGCCATACTAAAACATCTCTACTAAAATTAAACTGCCCCCATAAAGTAGAATTAACTTAACTGATTAAAATATGAGCCCAAAACTATAATCTAAATCTTATGAAGCGTTACTTATAACTTAAAAACATAAACATAACTAAATAACGTTTATTGGACAAAACGAACGAACGCGGCTGAGACAGAAACTCTCGGTTCAAAACAGCTAAGTCTGCGCGCCCACGGATAGACAGTTTGCAGCGAGAATTTCAGACAGTAATGATAGAAATATGAAGTAAGCAGAATACTGCTTTTACGTTATTGCTCCTAGGAGCAACACACTGTAACGTAACACTGTAACTACGTTACTATAATTAGAACATTGGAAAGTACCCGGCTATATCTAGGTCAAAGTTAATCATTTTGCTTTTACATGTTATTTCTAGGGCTGAAATATTAAAGAGATGTGTTTATTATTATGCCTATGCCTATGCCTATGCCTATGCCTATGCCTATGCCTATGCCTATGCCTATGCCTATGCCTATGCCTATGCCTATGCCTATGCCTATGCCTATGCCTATGCCTATGCCTATGCCTATGCCTATGCCTATGCCTATGCCTATGCCTATGCCTATGCCTATGCCTATGCCTATGCCTATGCCTATGCCTATGCCTATGCCTATGCCTATGCCTATGCCTATGCCTATGCCTATGCCTATGCCTATGTCTATGCCTATGCCTATGCCTATGCGTATGCCTATGCCTATGCCTATGCCTGAGCCTGTGCCTGTGCCTGTGCCTATGCCTATGCCTATGCCTATGCCTATGCCTATGCCTATGCCTATGCCTATGCCTATGCCTATGCCTATGCCTATGCCTATGCCTATGCCTATGCCTATGCTTATGCCCATGCCGTGCACTTGTTTGTGTCCTTGCCGATGCGTGCGAACATGCCCATGCAGATGCCCATGACCAAGCCAATTATTACGTCTATGCATATGACTTATCCATGAGTACTCCTGAGCAAATAGTTTTAAAACAAGCTTTTTTTCAACATTGATATAAATAAGCATTTAACATAATATAACGTATCTGACTGTTGTGCAGTACAACTGCATTTTACTGTAGGCACAATATCTTACTGTATATTAGTTTTCAACAAGGATTAATTGTTCTTGCAAAGGTGTAATTGCGTGCTTAGCACAAGTTAATTTTCACGTTCACTGAGCTTGAACTTCTCCACCGCGGTATTCGACTGGTTCAGTCCACTAAAAAACACCATGCACATTCCCCAGCCCAGGCCCTATCGTGTGTCCCTGTGCTGTTAAGTGGTCATGGTTCAGATCTTTTACATGGTTTAGATCTTTTTACCTTCAACTGATATTTTCAAAACCACTGTGGCCTACATTTTTCCGCTTGCAAAGCCCATCTAAGTGTTTGCGTTGAGACAAGATTGACAGTTATTCGAAAGTTATTCTTATACATATGAAAATAGACAGCATTAAGCTATGAGGAATATATATTAAACGCCTTTTCCATCTTAATGAATCTATGTTTTTGTAAGATTTAATAATTGACAATTATTGATTAATGAATTCACTATTAATATAGTATAGGGATGATAAGCATTAAAATAATTAAATCCAGAGCTTTAAAAGCAAAATAATTAGTATACTTACCTACAAAAAAATAAATCAATCATTCAATCACTTAATCAGTAAATAAATCAATGAATCAACAAATCAACCAATTAACCAATCAACCAACCAATCAACCAATCAATAAACAAAACAACAATCTATATCTATATTTATGTCTACGTCTGCGTCTGCGTCTGCGTCTGCATCTGCGTTTACGTTTACGCCCACGCCCACGTCTACGCCTACATCTACATCTACATCTACATCTACATCTACATCTACAAGATGACATGGAACTGCACTGCAATTTACTGGATAGTTCAGGACATTTCTCTAGGAAATACAAAGACAGACCAGAAAGCTGCTCGAATTTACACTTACAAAAACTATGAAAATTAAGGACGAAATATTTGCTCTTCCATTCTTTTAATTAACTAAAGAAAACGTCCAACAATTGACAGAGCAGCATCTTTATACCCCATACGTATTTTGTCTTTTCACCAACTCTTATATTAAGTAACTGGGAACACGACGTACGGGTATTGGTTTATGAACGTGAAAACATTGTCGACACCTGGATTTCATACAAAAACCGTTGTTTTATTTTAGTCTACGGCCGTGTTTTATTCACGGAGCTAATTAAATTTTATTAGACAGAAATATATGTTTTAGCTAGACAAGAATCAACAAAAATAACTTGACCCATTTTCAACGTGAATTGTTGGATTAGCTTTTCACCCATTGTCCGAGGGGGTGTTTTGCTGTCCATTTCCAATGTAGTCTTCAATCATTCTCGCTAGTCGAAAAACACTTCGACCAAATCCTTGACTTTTGCCACTAGTTTCAATTGTCGAAAAATTCGTTTTTTAGTTACGGTTGAGTTTTAAAGGTTTTACAGACTCATGACAACTTTCCAAACTATAAATCTTACAATTTCTAGTTAATTGCTTGTCATTTTAATAAAGCCGTTTCGGTTAGTTGACTGTAGAAGTTTGCGACCATTTAGATGGGGTCGCGGCACATATGTTGAGAACCCGTGCTCCAGGCTTTAAATAATGTCTTTGTTACATATGCGAATTCTCGAAATGTGCCAACAACGAATTCTTCTATTATTACAGGTATGAGTCCCCGGAAACTTATAGCAGGTTTTAAGGTAATTAAAACCCGTGGCAACAAAAAGGGGACTTCGTCAACAAATGGTAAAGATACAATGATGAAACCCCGTAGTGCCTGCATCGCTGACAGACATTCAGGCCGACAGACCTACAGGCCGACAGACCTTCATGCCGACAGACATACATACCCACAGACATACAGAACGACAAACAGACAGACAGACAGACACATAAGCTTTCAGACCCGAAAACAAACACTTAATAAAATGGTGTTTAAACACACGATGAGAGTTTTGTTTAACAAAGAATGTGTGCACATTTTTTTAAATGCTGTTAAAAATTGTGACTGACCTTAGAAAATAAAATTAAAATCATGTTTAGTGGAAAATTTAGTTTTATTTATGCAAAGATGAATACAGGTATATCTAAATACACTATTTTAAAAAAGATGTTGCCACTCTTAATATAGCTATTTGTTACGGGTCAGTTCGGCCTGGGGATAACAATACATAAACACACCGGGGTTAACAATACTCTAAGGTAATTTCAATTCACACACGCACTCTCCCCTAATTCTAGTTTATTCTAACCTACTTCTATCTAACCTACAACTGACCCGTAACACTATTGTCATGGTAAAGTAAAACGTGTTTAAAACTGTTCCACTACTACAGAAATCAACAATCCAGATTAATAACAAGTTTGTTTGCAATAATGCACTAAAAATGAGAACATAAATGACATTGTTAAATATATAAAAAATACTTGCTATTTAAATAAATAAAAAAAAACGTGGGTTATTATATTATTTGATGGATATATTTACTAATAATTAACTCTAGTATATTGCATTTTATTGATAGAGAATTCCTATAATACGCGAAAGAAGGGAGTTGATTCAATAAATTAACAATTTCAATTTGGATTAAGTTGAAATCCTTTAATAAATAAACAACTAGTTTTGTTTTGTCAAAGTTAACTAGCGCCATGTATAAAGCATTTATTATCGACTCACATTTGTTACGGTACTTACAAACTCATGAATTATGATAGTTTATAAACAGAAATACCATTTCTAAATTAGCTAATCGATGTTTTTTACGGTTAATTGGGAGAGTTTTAATGGAAATGGCTTGCCGTTGATTATGTTGAAAGCATTTCATTACAAACACAAAATGTAATGTAATCGTAGTGCTTATGTACTAAACTCTGTTTGCCATCAGCACATTTCGACATACTTTTCTTGTTTCCACTTTCTGTATCCCCCTCCACTTACACCCATTACCACAGTTTACATTCGTAAGCCACCAATAGATGTGGTTACACTCCACTGAATCTTACACAGTGCTATACAAATTGATTAGATGACATAAGTGTGTCGCAAAGATGTGTAGCAGATTGTACCTTGGAATAGTTAAGCCTATTATGTCAGCACAGTTTACATTGGATTAAGTAAGTCAAGTACATGTTATTTCTGTCTACACACTTTAGGCTAATGTATTAGGTGTTAAGGTAAGATTGAAAAATCGAAGATTTGGAATTTTCTGCGATTGGCTTATAGGATTAACAACACTAAATCAACTTTCGGTAATCGACTACACCTGCCCGTAGGAAGTTAAATACAGTTGGCTCCAACTTTTATCTCATCTGTTGTGTATGCAACACAAAAATTGCCAATTTACATATCAATAAATGTCAGGATTTTATAAGTTAGTTATTTCCACAGAATAAAAACAAATAACTCTGTAAATACTACTCAACAAACTATTACAGAAATAATAATACAAACAACTATAGATTACTCTTTACAAACAACTATGAATGCTTCTTTCAAATCGAAATTAGAATTTCTTAAGTAATTTAAATCGTTATTATTTGTATTGTAAGTCATTATTCAAGCAATCACTTTTAAGTCACTTTTAACCGGAAAAATGTCACGTTTAAATGAAAAACTGTCACGTGATAACGGAAAACTGTCACTTTTAAACAGAAACCTGTCCGACGATGACTCAAAGCACAAAGCCGCACAGTGTACCAGCTGATCCATGACAAACAATAGATCTATATTCTATACATAAACTGGTCATAGGCGAACAGCTAGAGTAATGCACAATATAAATTATTTAGCAGTAAAATATAATAGTACGTAAATGTTAGCACTCTGCTGTAAGTAACGTCACAAAAAATAACGACACTACAGACTTAATTTTTAAACAGTTTGGGGAGACGACTGTTAGTCAACGTCAAGCAAGGTAGAAAACTCACATGTTGGTTAATGATAATTTTTTTAGAGTTATGTTTTCTTACCTATTAGGATTGAAAAAACATATTTATCTAAGCGGTTTGTGTTGATTTTTAAAAAATTTTTTAGCGCCTTTAAGTTTTTGTTTGTATCAGATTCGTAATTTGTAATGGATTTAATACCGATGTTTGAATTGCATTATTTATTTTATTTTTCTGTCTTGTTGACCAAGGAAAATATTCTATTTAAAAATAATTATCTGATTAGATGATTTTATACACAATTCCTATTTTTTAATAAATCATTAATGGCAGTTTTAGATTCCAGCTTTAAATGTACTTTGCTCCTAAAATAAATATTAAGAAATGTTGCTTTAAATACGTATTTATTTTCAGCACTTGAAAGATTGTTTCTCTTTAGTCGTCAGTTATTTTCCCACACATCAAGACCAGCCATGTCCGTCAACATCCCGTGTCTGGTTGCTGTCATCATCCTCTACATCCTCATCATCGGCATCATCGCTGCCAGGAAGACAAACAAAGCCAAGGACACGGAGGAAGTGATGATAGCCAATCGCAGCATGGGGCTCTGGTTGTCGTTCTTTACTCTAACAGGTTAGACATTGTACTGAATGAAAGAAATGTGGGGAAAAGTATAATTGTGATGATTTAAACTGTTATATATATATATATATATATATATATATATATATATATATATATATATATATATATATATATATATATATATATATATATATAAATCTTTGTAAACATGTTAAAATAATTCTTATTTTGGTCCTAGCAACTAGCGTATGTGGAGGTTACTTAAATGGAACAGCCGAATACACAGCGTTTTATGGGCTGTTACAGACTCAAGCCCCGCTTGGATACAGTATTGGGCTTTTCTTGAGTCAGTAACAGTGGCTTTACCGTTTTATTGTTGTGTGTATGTGAAGGGGGGTGAGTCTCATGCAAGGTTTACCGTTTTATTGTGTTGTGTTTGTATGTATGTGTGTTTGTCTGTGTTTGTGTATGTGTGTGTGCGCGCGTCTCATGCATGGTTTACCGTTTTATTGTGTTGTATGTGAGTTTCAGTGAACAAAGTAATGATTTATTTTTGTATGTCAATGATGATATTGTATATGAACCAAATATTCTGTAGAAAAAATAATTATTAAAATTAATAAAAACAAACACAACTAAAAATAATTACAGAAATTGTAAATACTTAAATCAAAACAAATTTTGTTGTAAATTAAAATCAAAGCTAATACGTACATTGAAACAGTATATCAATGGAATAAACATTTTAATTTAATCATCTCAATGAGTCCAAAACGTGTTTGCACCATGCACATTTTCACCTGAAAGTTGAACTACACACAGGTGGGCTGCTAGTGGCACCAAACATGAGGAGACAGAATTACGTCACAATGTTTGACCCGTTCCAGTTGAAATACGGCAGGAAGATGGAGGCGCTGTTGATCATACCTCACATGCTGGGGGATCTCTTTTGGTCGGCTTCAATCCTTGCTGCTTTAGGTAAACTCTAACCATTTGACTTTATTATTTGTTTACCTCTGGGCCACATAAAAGCAGTATCGTATTAGTTCTGACCATTTACATTTTATAAGTCACCGCGGTTTTTAAATATAAACTAGACTACCCGTTGTCTAGTTAGATAACTGTGTTTTTCGGGGGGGGGGGGGGTCATCCATAAATGACATCACGTCTGTCACTCAGAGGCGTAGCGACCCTTTTCTGCGCCCGGGGACAAACTTTTCGATTTGAACCCCCCCCCCCCCTGGCACGATTTTGATATGCACCCCCCCCCCCCCCTCAAACTTTCGATTTGCACCCCCCTAAACCTTTTAATTTATTTTTCCAACCCATTTTGGCGCCCCCCCCCCCGCCCCCACCCTCCTCGCTACGCTACTGCAGTGTCACTTATCGTCACAAAAAAACAGGCCCCACATTCAAAAATATGTTTTTTATCTTTTAAAAACACCGAAAACAACGATTTTGGACTATCCCTTCATATACTGACGTCACAGGTGACTTACTCAACCCTACTTCACCTGCCCAGTGTCCCACCAAGTCTCAGACAACATGTTTTTATCGTTTAAAAAAACGATTCCAGCCGAGCATGTCTCTGACCACACTATCCCTTCGTATGCTTAGGACAAACAAACAGGTGCACTCTACTTCACCTGCCCTGTGCCCCGCGAGGTCCTGATAGTTAACCTTATCATTCACATGTAGGCCTTAGGAAAAATAATTGAAAACATTGTTGTAAAAAGAAAATGTAACTTTTTACTATTACTAAAGTCATTGTTCTAAACTTTTATATAAATTGTGGTTAATCTACCTATGAATATATCAATAAATTAATTAACGGCTTTAAATTAGTTTGTAATTAACAATGTGTTTAAGAAGGAACAATATTTACCTTTCAAAATACCATTTTACAGCTATACACATAATGAAGATTCTCCCCAATAACAAATCAGATAAACAAACAAACAAAAAAATGAGTTATCAAACATCACTATTCAGTCAAAGTTAAGCCATTGTTCTAAAACATTTAAACAAATGTGGTTAATCTACCTATGAATAAATCAATAAATTAATTAACGTCTTTAAATAAATGTGTGATACACAGTCTATCTGCAATAATAAATTATTCTCTACCTACATACTATTTTACAGCCCCCCATATACAGCAGTTTTCTTACAGTAAGAAATCAGACAAACAAATAAATATTCAAACATGTAAACAAAGTTGAGTTTTAGTAGTATTAGATTAGTGGCTTCAAAGTTGGTGTTTACATACAAATTTTTGTTGTATTATGTCCTTGTTTACCACCAATTTGTAGAATATTAATTCAGAATATTTATGACACGTAAAACTGCCTGATAATTTAAGATACTTAAATAATAGATTTATATACTGCCGTATACTATTTATTTTAAGTTCGTCGGATCGTTCCGTTTCAGGGGGGACAGTATCGATAATTGTGGACATCGATCCTAAGATCTCAGTAATCGTGTCCGCGTTGATCGCTATAGTCTACACGTTCCTCGGTGGTCTGTACGCTGTGGCCTACACTGACGTCATACAGATGGTGCTGGTCGCCGTAGGTCTGGTAAGTGAAGTATACGTTGTGTCTTCAAAAGAGGTTGGTCTGGTAAATGACGTCACACAATTGTCGTTTTAGTTGTTGGACTAAGCAGGATTAAACTAATGCTAAGTTTATTTCTATTTCTATGACTTTAAGATCTAAAGCGATTGAATACATTTTCCATGTTTAAAAAATGAAAATATGTATTAAACAGCAAAAAAAGTGTTGAAAACAATTTTGTTTGTCATGGAAACCTGAAAAACCTCCACTAGTTTGAATTTTCTGGTACTTTAAATACGCTAAGACTTTTTATTTTATTTTATGCCCTTATAGTAATCAAATGTAAACAGCTTATATTTGGTAAAGCCGATTGTAAGCTTTGGGTTTTTCCAAGAAGATGGAAAATACGCGTACCAAACATACGAGAAATCCAGCTTTCCCATTATGCCAAATACAATATATTGACGAATATAAAGCGTTTCGTAGAGAGCTTGTAAGATTGAGGGAACATGATTCTTTTTAATTAATATGGTCATAAAAATAGTACTTTAAACAAATACATTTTTTTTCTGATTAAGTTATTTTTTTTTGTTAATACAAAAATTGATAAAGTAACCTAAAGCAAAGGATCCCGATTATTACGAAAAACCAGGAATTTTGTTGTTTTGTTAAAATTAAACTAATGATTCGAGTTGCTTACAGATGGGGGCGGGGTGGGGGGTGGGGGCTGAGTCCCCCGAAGAAAGTATACTCCCCACCCCCCCGAACGAAATGAAATGTATATAGAAAACATATACTTTACCACTGTTCGCCCCACCCGGAAAATGTTGAACGCCCACCCCCCGAAAATATCAATTCCCCCCCCCTTCCCCGGAGAAAAAAAAGTCTGGAAGAAACACTGGTTGCTGAATGGTCACATGTTTAATTAAGGTATCTTAAAATAAAATGTCTACCTTCAAAATTCTGTAAACAGGTGTGTATTTATCGCTAAATAAAATCTAAACAATGTGTTGGACTTGAAAGTTATACGTTAGCACTTTAAAACTAACGTTGGCGAAAGTTGTAAGTTTACGTCAGATCGTATTTTAACAATTATGTAATCTTTGGGTTAACGGTTTATTTCAAGGTTTTATAGTTTGGTGTTTATCACAGGTTATCGCCTGCCCCTTCGCCATGACGAGTGAGTTTGTTCACCTGGAGAATATAACGTCTACCTGGCTGGGGGAGGTGGGGGCGGGGACAGAGATGGCCTATATGGATACGTTTTTGTAGTTGATCTTTGGTGGGACCACATGGCAGGTAGGTGTCATTACATGGCAACAGGTAGGTGTCAGTACATGGCAGGTAGGTGTCAGTACATGGCAGGTAGGTGTCAGTGCACGATTGAGTAGGTTTTATTTAATAGTGCAGATCAAATGATCTTTATTGAGGTGGGCTATGTCGAGAGTGTAAGATACGTGAACAAAAAAACTACTTACTTAGATGTATAACTGTTTGTATATATATATATATATATATATATATATATATTAAAAAACAGACACACATAAACATACACACATACTTACATACATTGACTAACACAATATCATGTTTACCCGAGACATCAGTCAAGTGACTGTGAAACGTTACACACCTTGATGGTTCCCATGTTTGTGTCTACTGTGTTGCTATTGAGTGCTCACAGTTGCTCAGCTGTTCATGCTTCAGGTGCATCCATGCTTGCATGCTTGAGCAGTGTGTTTTTTTTTCCCCAGGCCTTCTACCAGCGTATACTGGCCAGCCAAGATGTCAGGGTGGCCGTGTATTCCACTATCGGCGCCTCCGTCATGACTTCTGTCATGGCCGTCCCACCGGCATTGATGGGATATGCTGGGGCAGCAGCAGGTAACACACATTAAAACATGATCCTGATATACTTACATTACATCACTTACATTTCATCCGTTGATAAAGGTCTATTTTTAATCTCTAATAGGGTAATCTAAACTGAAACGAAACGTGTATTTAATAAAAATATTATATCTAATATACGGTTGAACAAATAATTTTAATGAAAAGCAGGGTATGTTTAATTTTACCGGAAAAAGGTAACTCTAAAAATGCTTCTTATCTCGTGAATCATTCTTGTAAACTTTTTTTTTCTATTGCCGGCGACGATAAATATTGATTAAAGATCACGTAACTACAAAGTTATGGGAGAGCACTCAAGAAATTTGAAAAAAATTCAATATTAGCTTAAAGAGTTTTAAATCAGATAATTTAAAAAAAAAATTCAATACACGCTCTGACATTAACGGCCAACAACATAATTCGAAATGTTTAAGTTCTATTACTAAACCTTAAATTACAAGTTCAGCTGAATTGCTCAAATATTCTGTATGTCACGTGATCCAAGCAACACAGTATGATTGGACACGAGGAAAAGTAAAGGCGGCTTTGAATGTCGTATAGCAGGAAATTTCTCCTTCTGCTGTAAAAAAAGTTGAGCTTTCCTTCGTCAGATAACTTCTATCTTCATCCTATATCCTGAATGTTATGGTACACTGTCGGTAAAAAATTGTTTAATCCTTCCAGACTGGAACCAAACTTCCTACGACGGACCGATACCAATACCAGACGACAGGAAAAGTTACATCCTGCCTATGACCTTGAATTATCTTGTGCCACTTCCGGTTTCAATTATTGGAATGAGTGCCATCTGCGCGGCCGTGATGTCATCGGCAGATTCCAATTTCCTGTCTGCAGCGACGGTGTTCACTAGAAACATTTACCAGGAAATCTTTCGGACGAAGG